GGGGGGGGGCGGTGTTAGTGACAGAGAAAGCTCCTTAAGTTATATGGTGTTTCATAAGGTAAGCTTTGCATCCGGTGTAGTGCTTGTCGCAGCAAAGTGGAAAACGTCTACTGTGGCGAAAATGAAGGGAACTGTTATTTGCCAACCAGTATTTGTTTTTTGTCAGGGAAGAAAAGGACCTGTGGGTGTGCGAGGATCGAAGGGCGAAAGTGGTGGTCCGGTGAGTTGATATGTTTTTGGGTAGTGTTTTTGAGTGCAAGTCTTCTTTTCAACAACAACAACAACAACAATTTAACATTTATATAGCGCAAACTACTACATAGATAATCAGTCGCGCTTTACAATCAGTTAAGATGAGATCGGACGTCAGAATTCATCAGTGATTCAGTTCGATGATTCACATTTTTTTTTCATTGTTATGTTTGATCGACTTTAATCACTGTTGTCAGTTCCAGTTATTGGCTTGAGTAAATTAACTAAACTGTTGTTAATTGATGAGTTACAAATTTTTAATGCTCAATTTGAATTAATATCTTTTTTAACAGGGATCACGAGGCCAAGGGGGTGATGATGGAGAGCCGGGAAGTCCTGGCAATGTGGTACGTAATAAATTGATTGAAGTTCATGTATGAAAATATCTATTGACTCATTTCATTTGTGTATTAGGGGCTTCGAGGATCACCTGGCATGCCGGGAAAGCCAGGATTACAAGGAGCACAAGTAAGTCAGCTCGCGCATAATTACCTCATGCAAGCACTCAATTTCTCTTCTCACCATTATACGAATTGTAAATTTTAGGTTTCCTGTGCACTAGGCCCAGTCTCTGCCGAGTTTTGACATTCGATACTAGATCAAACCTCGGCGTACATGTGTCTATATCGCTTGTTGCTTTCGCGTTTATTTTTCGGATAAGGATCGTTTAACTAGACCCACATCGAAGGAAAAGAACACTACGGAATCATTACGGATATTGTAGCAATTTTCAAGGTTACGGACAGTTACTTGTTTGTAAGGATTTCTCATACGGTATTGTATTCGAACGGTGTGCTGAGTGCAGTTGATCGGATCGAATAAAACGTCGAATTGACACTGAATTGACAGGTGTTACGCTTATATACACTGCTTTGAGTTTCTTAGTAAAGAGTCACTGCAGGTGCTTTGTGTAAAAGCGTCGCTCTAGCATAACTCAAGTACCTCATATTAAATCAGTCGAGCGCCTCAAATAATGCAAATGTACCTTACAGGTTCACTCGCCCCTTACCTCAAACCTGTGATTAACAATTAATCATCAGACTATAACTTGATTAACGAACCTGATTGGTTATCTGCATTGATAGTGCAGTGTACGCATCATGCTCGTGTAATTGGGCAGTGAGCATTTTTGTGCCTACTGTACCTTCCTCCTAGGTAGGTACTATGTTACGGTGTCGTGGAAGTCCGTAAGCCTTCCCCCAAACCTCTCGCGGTTTTAAAAATGGTGGACAATCGTGAGACACTCGTAACGTCTCTTGTAACTCGTCCTGGTTCAGCTCCGTCAATTGTGATTAATGAACAATTCTGATCGGGTTTCTTCGGATTAATTTTCGGTTTTGTCGGGTTTAGTTTGATGTTTGTTCAGCGTCTCAGCTTTACAGTACGATATTTTTATCGATTTGAACGTACAAACTACGTCATCAACCGTTCTCACATGTGCGTTGCTAGAGCTCGAACCTTATGCCTATGGAGTCGAGAGCCATCCATTGCGCTAGGTTCGCAGAGCGTATGAAGTAGTGAATTTTTATATTAAAATACATTTCATGCACATCTAATAGACACCATTACTGGTCAAGAGTGAAGCCAAGATGGCTGGATATTGACCGAGTTCTTCTTTTGAATTTATGGACCGAGACGAATTCTTGCGTGGGATCAATACGGCCAATCCCGAGCGAGCAAGATGGGCCCATCCTTCCCGCTCGGGTAGCCAATCAGAACACATGATTCGCTTTATCACTGCATGTTATATCTTGTAAAACAACAGGAAGTGAGTTGTGCGAAAATTAATCCAAGCCAACTTGTCAGTTTTTGTAACTAAGTGAAAATACATTTCCGCCTTTATTAAGTCTCCCACAGTATTAAATGTGCCTATTTATTTGCTCGGGGTGATTAAAGCGAGATGCGACGTAATCCTTCACCAATCAGAGCGAGCGCATCTTTATAATCACCAAAAAAAAATTATAATAACGTGTTTTAATAAAGGTCATTGTTATGCATAACTTCTCAAAAATAAGCCTGCATTAATTGTAAAGATTTGTCCTCATTTTTATTATCATCTCTCTCGCTAAAGGGTCGAGAAGGTGAACCAGGCCTCGAGGGTAAACCAGGAATTCCTGGTACGAAAGTAAGTGACGTGCATAACTTATGTCCTCTTCTTGCGTTTTTAAGGTTATTTGTTTTCTCTTCGTTAAGGTTCCCGGTGGAGACATTCGACTTAACTTTTTTTTTTAAAGCCCTGATTCTTTGTAACTTTTCAGGGAGCCCGAGGAAGATACGGGAAGTCAGGAAAACCCGGTTTACCCGGTCCTCCGGTGAGTTGTTACGACATGATTCGTATATAACACCACTTTTCCATGTATCGTGAAAAGATGGATCACGCTTTCACATACGCACCTTCTTGAGAAAAAAAAATTGTTAAAAATTGCGACAAGAATAGGGCTTCTCAAAATCTTAAAACTATTGAAATACCATCCAAGACATAATTACTGCAGCCATATCTTAGTTATAAGTGGAATTGAAACATAATTTGCTAGTAACAGCTTGAGATATGTAAAGTGATTCCACGTTCAGAATTTAATTTAAGTTTCGTGAGAACTTTATTGAACGCGTGAGATACTTTAACTGACACGTTCCCTGTTTTTCTTGTAATTCGTGATCCAAATTGGCGTCCACGGTAACCTGGCCGCCTACTTTTTCTTTCTTGCCCTATACTTTCCAACTTGTTTACAGCCCTGCAAACTGGTATTGAATTTGTTTGGTTCCCCTGCAGGGAATGGGCGGTCAAGATGGTATATCTGGTCCCCCCGGACAGGACGGCCCGGTTGTGAGTGAATTTCAGCTTTTACAGAAGGGACTGTTTATATTTTCCTATAGCATGTTACAGACATAACTCACCTTAGTAAAAAAAAAAAAATACAAAAATCAAGGGATTTAAGGAAAAAAACATGACTTGTCAAAGAAGGCAATCCAAGAAGGTAAAGCAAATAAACAATTCGTCAACTTCCATTCTCCAGCACTTAAATTGCCAGGATCTGAAAGGCAATCTTCCATACTAGAAACGTTAGATTACTTTTTTGGCGCGGGATTTCGAACTTCCAACAAGGCAGAGGTAAATATTTCTACTTTGTTAACTCTGGCGAAACGGTAAGTTGTTTAGTTGCTTGCTGTTGTATAGTATTTACCTTCTTACCGCTGAGCTAGCAGCCAGCACTCGCGAGAAGTATTTTCCACACGCGCGGTATAAAAGTAAGAGCCTCCCTTAGGCCCGAAAAAATGCACGGATATTTGTTCCCAGACATCATTTGTTCCGAGAAGCGAAGCTCGAGGAAAACTGTGAGCTTCGAGGAACAGAAAATGTCCAAGGACTAATATTTACTAATGTTTGGTATCCCTTAGTTGATCATTTGTATAGCTCTCGTGGTTATCGCCAGGTCACACAATTCTATACACTTTGGCCATGTTTGTTTTTATATTTCTTTTGCATTTGACAGCAAAATGGGAAAATTTATCTCATTGACTTTTAATTTTGAATTTTCTTTTTCAGGGCTTTCTTGGACCTCCTGGACCGATGGGTCCCAAAGGACATGTTGGACTAAATGTACGCACTTCTTAAACCCTAAATTTACCAAACGGCTCAATAACTCGACTTGCAGTTTTAAGCAATTTTGTAGAAAGAAAATTTTGAAAATTTAGGGGAATCAGATTTACCAGCTTATCCGCACGGTCGGTAGTGAAGAAGATATCCGATTTTGAATTTCAAATGATCTCAAATTATAAAAGTACATTTTGCATTGTCATGTACTTACTTTTAAGTCTGATTATTCATTTCATTCATTTATTCACCTTTACTAGTAGGTTACTTAGGTATTAGCTAGTCACACACGACCCCTCAAACATGTAGTGCTTTCATTCTCACCGTGTACATGTAAAGGATCTACGCGCCTCGTTGGCTATCTATCATCTCATATCCAACGCGCGCTCGTGGGATAATTGTTAAGAATAGGACTATCATAGTTAAAGTTAATGCTCTCAACCTTTTTATAGGGCTTTAATGGTTTTGCAGGAAGAGGTGGAGCACGAGGAGAAGACGGTGAATTGGTAAGGTGTTAGTCTTTGTTTAGTAGGGGTATTTTTGTTCTTTTAACGATCGTCATTGGTCGATGAGTCATACGGTGGAGAATGTTTTGTTTAGCCATTTTAGGGCTTGTTGTTTTGTTCGTTTATTTAAAACTTTTCAGCTTCCAATTTCACCACTTGGCAAGGATCATATCGGGTAAATGTAAAGTCTGTACTCGAGGCAAGTGAACCATCCAACCGAGACTTATACCGCGCTCTTTAGCATGAACCGACTTGGAGTATTACCACTTCCCCCTGGATAGGATTTGCTTAGGGTTAAGATTAGGTTAGGATTAACCCAAGGTTACCCCCCGCCCCCGTATTTCATCAAGCTTTTCTTAAAATTCGCCGGAACCTATTTATGCCCCTCGGTGGAGAGAGGCACTGGTACCCAATAACACTCTTGGGTGGAGAGAGGCACTGGTACCCAATAACACTCCTGGGTGGAGAGAGGCACTGGTACCCAATAACACTCCTGGGTGGAGAGAGTATAGTGTTTCGCCCAAGAACACGACACAATGTCCCGGCGAGGTCTCGAACCAGGACCTCTCGACCCAGAGACCAGCAGCCGCGTCTCCCATCGTATCGAGCAAACAAAGTTTTGATTTACGAAATATTTTCCTTTTTATTTCAGGGTGATCAAGGTCCAAAGGGAGCTGATGGTATCTCTGGGGAACCTGGTTTAACAGTGAGTTGATCTGGTTGAACATGGTTTTGGTTCTTATGGTTTCACTCTCATGCGCTAATTTACATAGTGGGCCCTGACGGTAAAATATTTGGATCGAGGTCAGCGAGGACCGAGAGCCAATTACTCTCCATTCTAGCCTGAACTCAGTCAATAAGTACTTTACAAGATGACCGCTTTTCTCTTTCTTTCGTCCTTTGTTCTCTCAGCTCGCATACCGTAGGGTCAGACTTTTTTCCAACCCTGCTCCCCTCATCACCCTCATTCGTGGGGCCGCATGGGTCGTATTAGAAACCTTTCTTAATTTACGTTCCAATTCTTTTATCTTCCGTGTTTTTTAGGGATATCGCGGGAAAACTGGAGATCCAGGACCGGACGGCCGCCCAGGGAATGATGTGAGTTTGTAGCTCAAATTTTATTATTTGTTATCTTCTTTGGATGGTTTTGTTGGCTCAGTTGTTTGGGTGTTATGCATTAGCTATTTCTATTTGGTTGGACGGGGGAAAATGAACAGGGAAATCTTTTGTTGTGTCCGGTAAAGGTTTCAGGTGGAAGTTTTTTTTAACAATATTCCTTGAGTTGAGAAAAATCTGCATGTATGACTTGACGAATTGCGTCTAGGCGCTTTCCAGTTTAACATGAGCCTTGCTTTTCTCGTCCAGAACAGAGCAAGATACTTTAACCTCAGCAGGTGGTACACGCCTGGATGGTATGGGAAAAAACTTGGACATTAAGATCTATTGCGATGTTACACTGCGGCGAGAATAATAAATCTTTGCAGCTTTACCTAATCGTAGACCTATGTACATGGCTACTTTTTCTTCTCTCTCTTTTGATCTCTCGAATTTTGTTCTTTCATTATTCCTTATTTATTACTACTTTTTTTTTTTTTACAGGGTCTTCCTGGTATAGACGGTACACCTGGACAGAATGGCGCCGCAGGAGAACGGGTACTTTTTTCGCAAACTTATTTAAAATACTTAACAAACGTTAAGTTGTACACGTGATAACTGTATCAGCATTTTACGGTTAAATTTATTGCTTTACTTTCAGGGAGATCGCGGAAGTAATGGGACTGCTGGAGCTCCAGGACCTCCCGGTGAAATGGGAAGACTGGGGGAGCCAGGGGATAAAGGCATTCCAGGGCTCGCAGGTGACCCGGTAAGACCTTAAGCATGAATCGTGAAGTGCGAACAGTAAACTCATGTTACGTGTGAAATATGGAACGTGGGATGCACAAGCTGAGAAGCACTGAGCGTGAGATGTGACATCTGAAGAAAGGAATGTGCTTTGTGAAAGAACTTCGTACAGCTTTCCGCATAATGCGGTATCGCCGCGCTGTAAAATAAAATTTTGTTCATATAAGAGTTATTCTTGGCCACCTTCTAAGCAGCTTCGCACTGTTATAAGAAAATCGCCTGGTTGGATGAGTGTCTGAGCTTCTGCTGAATACATTCACTGCCCTTCCCTGACAAACTCCCGTTTAAAATCAAAAGATCCAAAAAGACCCCCTCTAGCCCCTCCTACCATAAAAAAATAGTCTAACAGGAACGTAAAGGGGAATTGAGAATTCCTATATGCGTGCTCTAAAATTGGCTATTTAAATAACTTAATTAAGCATTTTTGTGTTTAAAGGATCGCCACAACCACAAAAATAGCCACAAAAATAGTCTAACAGGAACGTAAAGGGGAATTGAGAATTCCTGTATGCGTGATCTAAAATTGGCTATTTAAATAACTTAATTAAGCATTTTTGTGTTTAAAGGATCGCCACAACCCTAATAATTGTATCTATTAACTACCTCTTTTCAGAGAAAAAGGTGTGAAGTGTTATAACTAAACGTACCAAGATAAATGTTAAAAATAGGAATTTTTTTTTTCCGGTCACCACTGTAACTTTTCTTTCGCACCTTTTTAAACCTTACACGTTTTCCACGAATAGTGCTTCAAGTATCACTATTAAAAAACTAAAAGACGTGTATTCCTAGTCAGATACTTGTGCCAGGCAAGTAATTTTCGGTTGTCTTTTATCAAGGGTGATTTGGGTACCGAAGGAGATGAAGGGGAACCTGGACAGAAAGGAAGAACTGTAAGTTATCCTGCTTCGTAAAGAAAATGCATGTAAACATCTTTTCATCTTGATGACGTGCACTACGGAGCTAGGCTCTTAGGAAAATCAGCATATACCTGCAAAGCTCCGGTATCAAAAATTTAGGGTGCCAAGGTCTCAAAAGCGTTAATAAACAGACAATTCTTCAAGTCTCCCTAAGAAAAACGCTGCTTGCCGTTGTTTGCCAAAACCCAGCCGGACACGAGAACTCGACAGATGTTCCTTGGAAATCGGTGTAGCCCTCCTTTCTCCATATATGCTAACCCTACATCAGATTAAAACGTGTCATTTATTTACACTTATTTGAGACCTCGTGTCAGAGATCGAATTCCTTTTCTAGAGCTGCATTTATGTCTCATGTCAACTAATTGTGTTGCGGATTGTATCTTCTGAATATTGTGCCTGGTTTGTCCCATCAGGGCTGGAGTAAGGATTTGGTAAAATTCGCCCAAAATTCCAGTCGAAGGCTATATTCTGGTTACCCTTTTTTGTTTTTTGTTTTTTTTATTGTTATACATTTGGAGTTAATAAGATGAATACGTTCATATCCTCGCTTGGCACTCTCGAAAACCCCAACCGATTTATTTCAACTCCGCATTTAAATTTGTACCGTAACTTCTGGTTTGCTTGAGAACAGTCTATATCTTTTCCTTTTCATTCATTTGAATTTTACATTCAGGGTTCAATGGGAGCACAAGGAGATGAAGGAGAGACTGGGCAGCCAGGCCGGCCGGTAAGTGTACTTTTCAGTGTTGGGTTAGATGGCTCTCTAAACCAATGAAATGAATTGATTTATTAATTAACATTAATTTCTTCATCTATTGAATGAATATATTTTTCGTAACCAGATGCCATTCTTTAACATTTACCTATCAATCTTGTATGAATATCTGGATTTGTTGATGTCTTTGTATTCCTGTACGCTTAACTAATGTTAACAAAAAACGTTTGGGGTCTTATTTTGCTTCACATGCTTAGGGCGATCCAGGATTGACAGGGCTACCGGGAATACCTGGTCCACCTGGAGATATGGTAGTTAATATTGATATCTACTTATAGAAAGGCTGCTTCGGTAGAATGGCTGTGGATTTTGTCGTGTTTACATGCAGCTCATCATTCGGATCGCAAAGTAACCTTGAATTATGTTTTCGAAGAAAACATCTGGTACTTGCTTGTTGTATGAACGAAGTCTAGTTTATCCTCATTCATTATTATCTTCATGTGAATTGGTAATCACCACAAATATACTTTGGATTGGTAGAAAGCCTCTATTATTTGCTTGGTTAGTTGGGAAACACGTCACTGCTAGTTATTATGCTAATTTATTTGGATTGAGTCATAAAATCAACTCTCGTTAATCAAACCGTTGAATAAGAACCGATTGACATCTCCGGTACAAAGTGCACAGAACACGACTTGAAATGGTATTAAGAAAATTATCAAATACTACAATGGCTTTTGTTGTGAACTATGACGTGAAATTTCATTTTGTTTTAATTTTTAGCATGTGATAACCTCACGGGTTTAAGCAGTAACAAATATTTTATACGCTTATGGGCTTATCGGCAATTTTTGAATGGATGAAAAGTTTACTGCTTTGTGTTTTAAAAGAAAACAAAAAATGTTTTACAGGGCTCGATAGGGGAACCCGGTCAGCAAGGATCAACCGGCCCTTTCGGACCCAAGGTGAGTGACGCTGATAAGAAGCTTTTGATTGGTTAGTTCAAAGTTAAAACCAACAAGAATGGAATTAAGATATCGCCTTATTACTCGATTTTATACGAACGGACTTATGAATATAAATATTCATCCTCACTCCGGTTGGGAACGAGACTGTACTTATGTAATAGCTGTCCTTCTATTTTAGGGCGTGATGGGGCCTCAAGGACCACCAGGCCCTCCCGGTTATGGCGGTGAGGAGGTAAGATGAATATGCAGATTCTTAAGCCTCACGGACTCTCGCTCACAGATTTAGAAATGGTAATTTTGAGTAAGGACTTTTTTTTAAGGCGGCGAGGTGGGGGGGAAGCCAGGGCCTCGTTTTTGGATAGTGTTGGTCATGTTTATGATCGAGATCGAGGTATCAAAAGGTTTGGAATTCAAACAATAAAGGTAGCAGGAAATGAAATAAAATATAGTGATCTAGGAGCCAAAACCTGCTCTGCTCTTCCTTAGACTGGGATTTAAAGAGAGGTTTCGGACCCTTGAATTTGCCTGGACTTTTGGAGAAACAGGCCGTGTCCATTCAAATAAGGGTCATAAAATTAGCGCAATTGTCATGTCGATACAAACTAGTTTGTAAGGTGATGTTATATTGCTATACTGATATTAAAGGCTGAGTCTTTTCAAGCACATTATTGTGCGAATTTGCACTGTATTTATGCTTTGTAAATTTACGGCTAGGGACGAATTGGGCCAGAGGGCGAATATGGTGACCGAGTAAGTGTTCAATCTGTTTTTTTTTTTTACCTAGTTACATAAAGTTAGAATCACTCGAAAGATCTATCTTGGAGTCAATTTATCACTCAACGCCATTCTACATCACTTTTTCTTTTGTAAACCGCACAAATTTAAACATTTGAACGTTTCCTTTTTCACGTGCTACATGAAGTGTTTTTCTTAAATTCGAAAAAATTAGTCCTCACCTCACATTTCTGTCACCTCGAGCCACAAACTTTGTTTCCACAAAACGTAAAATATGGTGGATCTTCATTTTAAAACTCGTGCAAAATTTTGATGCTTAACGGTATCTTCCATCTTCTGATTACATCAATTTAGCGGCTTGGGGGGAATCGATAATCAGCAAGAAAAAATTGAAGAGAAATAACGCCTTGTTTAGTGACTGCATAGATTTGTTAATATAACAGAGTGATAATTTTTTTTCTGTGTTTTTCCTCAGGGACCAAGAGGACCTGCTGTAAGTCCACCCCTCACACTAAGTAGGAGTCAAAGATCATTTCTATAATATGGTGATGGTCCAGAGACTTCACAACATACCTTTGTACTGGACTTTTACAGCCTTCAATCACTTTTTTCGGCCTCTATTTTACGTTGTTAACCTTATGACTGAAAAGGAACGTTTTAATTTGGTTTGTGAAGTTAATAAATCTGAGATAGGCCATTTGGACTTTATATTCTGTGTCATGCATTTCTCGATCCTTTCATCATCCTTCCATCAATCGATCCATTTTCCGTACCTTGGACTGATCGTTTGCCCCATCGGTCGTTCGTTCTCTAAACTATTCACTTAGTACTGTTTCGTTTTTCATGAAAAGAGAGATTTTTAAGTAAAACGTGTCAAGTAATACGTGATTTTGGTTTCTTTAACTTTCTAGGGGGATCAGGGACTTCCGGTATGTTCTATTCCACAATTTATTGTTATCCTTAGTGGTATTTTCTTTATACTCTTTCCAGTTTTTTGTTGTTTTTGCGCTCTTTCTGATGCTTTAAATCATTTGTTGTTGTACACAGGGTGACCCAGGCCCACCTGGTCCGCCTGGCGAGAAGGTATGTAATATGTGCCAATACGTACATATGTGATCCCACTATTTTAGAGTCGAAAGAGACCGTAAGTGAAAGTGCTCTTCCACGGTTTCTCAATCGTGAAACGATAGATAATGTTAATTGAACTGAGTGGAGTGCAGTTTGAACCAAAATCACACGAGTGATTTAAAAATCGAACTACATCCATTTTGAAATCGCAAAATTCAGTCCCTTAACATCGTGATAAATTAATCTGTACACACATTTTATTGATCCAGAACGCAGCTGGTTTGTAATTTGAAAAGTTGCAAAAGTTGTCTTTCGTTTTAATCTAATTTGTTTGGTTTCTTTAAAATTTTATGGCTGGTTGTGTTTTAGGAAAGGTTTTTCATTGGCTGGGGAAATATGCGATTTACACCTGGTTTAAGATTAATATATGAAGGTAGTGGTGAATATGAACGATGATGACATTTTTTTGATACCTTGTCCTCTGAATTTGCAGGGGCCTCCAGGGCAATATTTCTACCCGCAGCCGGTATGTTAATGGTATCTTTCACAGCTGTCATTTTTGCTCGTGACACGGCACGCTTTTGAGGGGGGGGGGGTAGCGAGCTGAAATGAGAACTGCAAGGAGTCTAGCAGGTCAACTTAGAAAGTTAATAGGGAACGAGAATCGGGACAGTGGAAAGCTACAGGATTAATTAACTGTGGTAGAAGTACAAAAAAACTTTCGGAAACGGTGAAAAACATAATATAAAAATTACAGTAAAACCTCCCTAGTTTCCATCTTCTCTTTGTTTCAGTTAGACTATTTCGAGAAGAGTATTCCTTAAGATAAAGAAAGTCTATTTTGAAATGTGCTATATTTGCTCAGGTTAGGATGAAAACGAAAGATGTATGAATGACAGTTGAAATTCACTTTTTATGTTCCCTTTAAACTTTAAATCGTTCATGAAAACGTTCATATTTAAAAGAAAAAGAACGACACTGCAGTTTTTGATGGGAGCTTCCTGAACGCGGTTGACAGTCAGATCCAAAATTCCTACAAAAAACAGACCTCCTTTTTCTTAACATTTGTCTCATATATTTTAGCCTGGTATTTCCACCGGAGGGAACAAGAAAGGTCCATTCTCCAATCGTCGGCTTTACTCGAGTAACCAGGTAACTTAATTATTCAATTCTTTTGTTTGCTTGATTCAGATGCAGTGGAACTTATTGTTTTAGATACACCTGTACAAAAAGTTATACAAAAATTAGTTTCTACTGAAAAAAAAGGTTGTCCTGTCGGCTTTGTATCTGTTAAAAGGCTGATAGTTTCTAAAGAAACTGTTTGGGGCTGCGTCAGTGGGGGTAACGAAATAATTTGGATATATCAACAAAGTTGAAATGGTAAACTGGCCACCGTAACGATTACAAAAGCTAAAGCTAAATCGTTACGGTGGCCAATTTACCATTTCAACTTTGTTGATATATCCAAATTATTTTGTATCTGTTACATTTACAGAAGAGAAAACCTACTTAGGGGGGTGGGTGGGAATTTTTCAAGTCCCATGGATATCGGTGGCCCCTTCAAGGAGGGTCCACTGAAACTTGGTCGACTTTCAGACTTGTGAGAAATGACTCACCTTAGCTTTTACTGTAGGCGTTCTAAGGTAGCTGCTGCTGTGGCTACTATTCAGGGATGTAGCTAGAATTTTCTTTCGGATTCCTACACTTGTATTTCGTTGGCATAACTGGCATTTTTGCGATGATAACTGGCTGTTTTATTGAGATGAGTTGGCTTTCGATTAAAAAAAAAAACAAACAAGCAATATAACTCTCAAGTTATCCTCTCTCTATTTTGTCCATTAGGACGGAAAATTGTTTATCTGTAACTTGCGAGCTCGTGTTGTGGCTAACATAAAGAAAATAATAATATATTTTGATTTCGTTTTTCTCTCTTAAGGAAAGTCACAAAGAAACCAACACCGCTGAGGATCAACTGCAGTTAGACGTGGGTGACGTTTTCACTCAAAATTATACCTAAAATGTAATCTGCATTTTTTGGAATTAATAACCATTTGCTTTACTCTTGCCATTTATTAGATGTCACAAGTAATTGATTACTACCTGACCGCTCTTAACCATGTCGTCGAGAATTTCAGAACACAAAATGGCACCAGACGATACCCTGCACGTTCATGTCGAGAGCTTCATCTTGACTACCCTGAGCACCCAAGTGGTATGTAAAAATTAAATTGAGATTATATTTCGTTTTTTCATTCGCTCAAGTCCAACCAACGTCACTGGAAAAATTCCGGAAGACCTTTGGGATCTGACTGATTTCTTTATTTTAGGAAGATACTGGATTGATCCAAACGAAGGTTGTACTGATGATGCAGTTCAGGTTTATTGCGACTTTGAACAGCAAGTCAACTGCATCGAACCCAAAAATCATAAGGTTTGAAATCTTACTAAACTTTGAACGCCTCTTTATTGTTAACTCTTAGTAGATTATTTTTAGGAAAATGTTATAAACAACTCTCTTTATGGACTATGTCGCACGAGATTAAATACCTCCCTGTCTTTGGGTTGATGGAAAGAAATTGAAACTGCTTTGAAATTTTTGCAGCCTAAGTTAAATACTCTGTTTCTTGATTATCAGTAGAAATGAAACTCGTTATCTTATAATCGTCATATTCCTTCTCTCTTCTAGATCACGATTCCAAGCCTCTCTGCCAATCAGTGGATAAGCGAAGTCAACCTTCCAACAGAAACGGTAACTTGATTAGACGAATGAGAATCGCACTTTGGGTTGATTGAGGAACCAACTAAGGCTAGATAAATACGTTTTGATTGCGGACGAATTTGGGATATCGGAAAGGGGAAAGTGGAAATGAACATTCCACCACGGAGGATCTACAAGTGATCCATTCATTCTGATCAGGATCCGTCTGATTTGTGGTATGGAATCTGAAATCCACTCTGGTAGGCCACATTTTACTTGAAATATTTCTTTGTCGGGGTATTGTTGGTGGGATAATGAAATGAATGATTGGAGATGTGGTCACTCGAAAAACTGCTTTAACTCGGTTTTTTTTTTCCTCAGTTTGAATACAAGGCAACAACTGGCCAAATTAATTTTCTTAGACTCTTGAGCAAAGGAGTTTACCAGAACATAACGTATTCATGCTTCAGAGAAGACGATAATGATTGCACCATTGAACTTCAAGGAGAAAATGACATGGAATTCAGATCATCTGAGCAAACCAAGTCCAGCTTTGTTTCCACAGACTCAAAGGTTTGGATTTATCATTATTTTTCCATCTACTGTTTCTCCTTGGCCATGTTTCTATGTCTTCTCGTGTCTACGTGGCCTTATGGCTTCTTTCCTTCGTTCCGTCGTTCCTTCTTTCCTTCGTTTCTCCGTTTCGTTGTTCCTTCGTTGCTTAGTTTCTTATTTCCTTTGTTTTTTCTTCCTTTGTTTCTTTGGTGTTTCGGTGCCTCTTTACTTGTGCTTCGTCTCTTCATTCCCTTGTTTCTTCGTGTCTTCGTCTCCTCTCGCCTTTCTTCCTTTCTTTATTACAACATATACTTTCCTATTTATAATTTATCTGTTTATTTAGGAGAAAGAACTATCCGGTCGTCGAGCAGTCATGGAAATAAATACAAACCGCACAGGTGCTTTACCCATAGTGGACTTTGCCCAAACTTACGTCAGTGAATCAACAGGGCCTTTCCGTCTTGAGATTGGGCCCGTGTGTTTTATGTATTAAAGTTATGGATTTGAAATCCCGCTAGTATTTTACCTCTCTTAAGTCAAAGACAACAGCCAGGCCATCACTTTAGTATATTTTGAAAACGTTTCCTAATTCGATGTTATCGTCTTAGCATAGTACGTTGAAATTGAAAGAATGAATCTTGAACGAAAACCTTTGTGTTTTACTAATCTTACGCTTTATTATTTAAATTATAGTAAAATCACAAACCCTTGGTTGTGCTTTTTCCTTTCATTTTTGTCTTCCCTTCCCTCATTTCAAAGTAATGGTAGACCTCACAAATTGTATTATTTTCACATCCGCCATTAAGACGTTTTCGTCAAATTATGACTGCAGCGTTTTTGAAATTACAAGGAGTAACCCATCATTTGCTTATTGCCTTTAACTGTGCTTAAATTCTAATTTACTCTTAATGGTGGAAATGGAGGTTTTATGGTTTATGGAGCATAGCTCTCTACTAAACCTAAAGCTTGTGAATCCAGCCGATATTGAGGGAGGTCACAACAAAGAACTTGTTTCCATGTTTTCCTTTAGAAAAACATCCTGCCCTGTTTTCTGTCAGAGTGGAGACTTGCTATTTAGTGACAGTTGTTAAGGTATTAACAATACACATTACTTAAAAAAAAAAGAACCAAAAAGCCAAAAAAAGAAAAAGGATGGGTAAGTGGAGACAGGAAATAACTGTGCTTAACATGCGTCAGTCGTGGTTATTTTGGTCTCGGTCGCGCGCAACTCGTTAGCATTATGTAATAAATTGCTCAATAGGACGGGAAGATTATATACTCCTTTAATGCGGATGCAAAATAAGCCAAGTTTTCCGAATATAAACATAGAAACATGTTAATCGCTTCACTACCAAGATCTCATTATCCATCCTCTGCATTCTGAGAAGCATCTCTTACAATCAAAGCCCAGAGAATTTTGAGTGAATTAAAAATATTTCCCTTAGATTATTTTCTTTTTACTTCTCGTCACATTTGTATTTGGGTTGATATTAGAAAAAGCAGTTTTTATTTCTGTCACTCTTGTTCAAGGGTGGTGATGCAGCGATCCAATTCATTTACATTTTAACCTTTGAGATGGAATTTACGAACGTGCTCAAGTTTTTGCTTTAATTTCTTAGATGTCTTACACTCTTCTTTTACGTTAATAAATTGCTCGTATGGACTGTACGGTGTGCCCCTATGGCGTCACTGCTCTTGTGGATGGAAGACAGAGGTCAAAGTAGAGCGCGTGGAATACTATGCTATCCTGATAAACCTCATCTAAATTGAGTGTTCTTAACCCGCTAGCACTGGCGGCAGAGTAAAACACGTAAACTTTGACTTTCGGTTTAAACAGGATGCTTGTTTTTTTTTTTTTCCCGAACCTTCTTGTTGCTTGAAACACTGTCATGACTGTTTTTCTTCTTCAAGGATTTCAGCATCACATGTGACCCCATCGAGAATTATATGCGGCTTAAGAAATCTTCAAAACACAAGCTCTTCCGCTTGCTGAGCGGATTGATTCATTCGGAATAATCTATAAATAGTCTTCCGTAGAATAGACTAAAACAGATGTTGAATGTGGTTTCTATGGTATGACAACAGTGGATTACCACAGCAGCTCATAAGTCGTCCGATCTTTCCGGTGTTTAGACAACTTGACATCAGGTTCGTCTTTAACTGAGCCTTCTTTGGGTGGGTCATGCTCTGTCAGCCAAGAAAAATATTATGCTAAAATGACAGAGTCAGTGGATAACACTGCACAGTACTTTTATGAGAGTAAACCTCTGAGAACTCTCTTGAATTTAACCCTGTGTGTTTTGGCTATACCGCCACAAAGTGGATTCAGATAAGTAGATTGCAAAGCTTCCGTCCTCAAGAATGGGCGCCATCTTGAAAAGATTATAAGAACTAATTTTTTTTTTTATATAACATCACCCACAAAGAAATCTGACTATCGTTTGTTGTTCCCGTAAGCTTTAAGTTACTAAAACATAAAACTGCATATAGTCACGGAACAGTTTCGGGAAAACTGAATGGCGTCACTCAGAAGCCTAGTTCGTTTCTGACCCAGTGGAAAGATAAACAAGGATCCAGAAAGGTCACTGGTTGACGGTTGAAAGTCGGGGAAATGAGATTTTATGGAAAGTAACCTTGTTCAATTTGCTTGATTTATCAACTATTTTGAAGGTAAAGTGCATAGATCAATGGATCATAGAGTCGAACACTATGGTTGATCACAAAAAGCGCAATTGTCTGGGAAGTGTAAAACGACACAGGGAAGCTCATTAAGTAATTGAAAATGTTCCCAGCTTTAAGGAATAAATCTCTTGATGCCGTTGAAAGTAATTAAGATTAGTGACAACAGATGCGCTAACAATAGGCTTTGTCGATTGATATGCTTCTAGAAATGTGCAGTCACTGGTGTGATGTAATATTCGTTAAAGTTGGGAAGTCAGTGCATTTAGTTGAAATGATGATCCAGTATCCAAGAATAGCTGACGCGCCAAAGATGCTGTGAAAAACTGATAATACCTCCTCTGCCGCAAACACGTGCGCATGTTATACGAGGTTAGACTTTCAGGTAATTATGAATAGGCTGGTAAAGCAATTTTCCTTCAATTACGTAATTATGTGGTAGAGCCAATTAAAATTTGTGGGAGTCATAATTGTGCAAAATAAATGATAAATTCATTAATTTAGTAGAGTACGTGCGGCGATAATTATTTTCATCAGGGAAAAGGACTCGAGATCAGAAGGTTCGTATAGGAGTTTTTATTCCGGTTACGAGATAAGGCGTGAATTTTGAGTTACGTAGTAGTAACAGAGAAGGAGGACTCTTCTTCCCATCACAGTTTCCGAGATGTCAACTAACTGGCTTGGGCAGAAAGGTGTTATTTGTTACGGTGTTTGTTGCCAGTACATACTCCATAACAAAGATATCCTTTGTACCCAAGCCAGCACCACAGTTTCTCTAGAAACCTGCCTCCTTTATTCTGCTGTACAGTTGAGCTCCTATGAAAAGACCCGAACACATGGCCATGCATCCCGCGTGTAAGAAACTATTTCAGTATTATTGATTTAGCGGACCCCCTTTGATAACCCAAAGCAATCAACAGCAACAATATTGAAACAGTTTGTCGGCTTCGTTCTGAGGAAAAAAAAAAAAATTGCTAACCACAAATTTGGCCCCAGAAATAAAATTGCCTTTGTCTGTTTGCGAAGAATTGTCTGTTTGGTTGTGATAGCAACATCGATGATAAACCACACGCCCGACTGGCTGGCGTCTGGCTCAGATCAAGTTTGCAGAATCTTTATACAAGTTACACTTTCTTTTTAACATTTCTCAACATCAACCTTTCAGAAAGGAAGTTGATTACATTCTTGGTGCACCCTTGAAATTTAAGAGTCTTTCTCAAAATATAAAACGCTTGAAACACTCATCACAGGTACAAAAGAAAGCCAAAAGGTCAAAAGAGCCTACTTTGAAACTAGATCATGTTATGGATGGCTGTGATCATAAAGAAGACTCTGTCGATCACGTGCATATTTATCAGCTCATGGAGAATTTGCCGTATACTGAAGAAGAACGACTGTGTAAACATTGCAGTGCATATCGTACACATTAGCATGCAGCCTATACGAAATTGCATTCATTTTAATCGTATGTAGACTATGGCCGGTGATATTAGTACTTCAGTGATAAATAAAAGTATAGAGAAATGTATGAGCTAGTCCCCAGTACTTTTGGATGTGCGGTGAAAACAGATTTTATCCTGAAAACGTCAAGTCTCAGCAGGTAACTTCTCTAAGATTGGATCTCTGTTAGCTATTTTAAGAATGGCTGGCCATGAAAACGTCCTACCATTCTACCCGATGATATCATACCACAAGTTTACACTCCTCATAATATATTCATTCATTTCATACACAGTGTTACCGAGTCCTACAAGGCAACCTAACTAACTTGTCAACATACACTACTGATATCATTACAGGGAACATGCCTTTTTCCTGCTTCATGGAGGAAATCCCAATTGGAAGGGTCTTACATTGGTGGAATTTTCTAGTTAGGTTATATTAGACCAGAGCTTCAAAAGGTGGCCCATGTCAATGTCGTTTGTGTACAGCGGCATAAAAAAAGACAAGAAATTTAAATTTATCACAAGTTAACGGGAAGATCACGAAAAGAGGTTGACAAATGACCTCCTACGCAGTCGGTCAGTTGTTTCCTAATTAATTGGTCACCCTACGCAAATACCAAGCTGAATGGGTGGGTTCCATCACTGTCGATGCTGACATTTCACGATCTTGCATGCAGATATCTATATAATCCGTTCTAATCTTCAGTGGAGCAATATTTGCGTGGCCAAAGGTAGGCCTACGACGAAGCGAAGAGAAGCATGGCACTTTCAAAGGAGATTTTTGGGTTTTGTTCCGTCCTGTTTATCTTACTCAAGGCACGAGCTACCACTGGAATTTGTGAGTATTCGTGCGTTAATGAACTTCAAATTGTTAATGGAGGTAATATTTGAAATCTACGTGCACTGCACTGGCCTTGTGTAGTCGTGGTTTGTCTACGTGACTAGCCAATCTCAGAGTTCCGAAACGAGCTACGTTAATTAGAACTCAGTGATAGTCTATTGATCCACTCTTTCTAAAAAAACTGCTATAATTTTCATAAATAATTGATGAGACTCCTGCTGTACTTGTCGCCAAACTGGATAACGAAGGCCTGAAGCCAGCGACTCACAGTTATTTTGCAATGAAAGTAGATTATAACAGGGTCTTTTTGTTTCTTTTTTTTTTCCATTATTTTTTTTGGCCTGAGAAAAAGAACGTTTCCAACTCTGTGGAATATATTTAAGAGGTGTTTATTGAACCGGACATCAGACTAAATGCTACATTTGCTACATGGTTATCATTATTTACGTTGAACGTGAAGTTCAACTTCTTTACTAATTTGAAACTAAGTGCCGCAAGTATATTTTCGACTCTGGAAAGATGATACTGGCGTGAAATGGAAACCTTCAAGTATACAGTTCTCTCGTTGTTTTTTGCTTTGGAACAAAATTCGTTGCTGATAAGAATTTCGTCACTGTCACTCATACTCAGAGTTCTTCCCAATTTTTTTTTTTTTTTTTTGTTCCTGAGCAGGGGAAGAAATATTACGTGAGGAATGTTTGGACTTAAAAGTTAAAAGACGCTTAAGAAGAGACCGAAAAAATAAGCTAAGGAGTCTTAATGCTAAGATAAATAGTCTTCTTGAGCTATAAAGCTAGAACAACACGATTTTTATCCACAAAAATGCAGAACTTTGATACGGAGATAACGAAGTATTCCAAACACGGGGTGAGATATCAAGTCGTAGCTTGACAGACTTGAAAATATTCAAATTACGAGTGGTGCTTCCCCTAGGGACGCTTTCTATCAAATACAAATTTTTGAAACTCTTCTTTGGCTTTTTTCAGTTGTGAAATTATGTGAGGATTTGTTGCATAAGAAAACCTCTAGACAGTTATATGTCGCTTTTGCTGAGAGAATGTTTCATTACATGCGCATTAATAAGGCCTCTTGCGAAGGAGAAGCTATGAAAATTGTAGAATCTCAGGGCGTACACGTTTAGCCAAACTTGCGCAACTCTCGCCAAAGAAACATTTGAACTTAAGACTTCTTCAGATCGTCACGAAAGCGGAAATTATTCAAACGATTCGTGTTGGGGCGGGATTTTAAAGTTAGCTCTTCAATAACTGTTAATGGTCATTTGGTTTTCTTAAATCTGACAGCTTTTAAAGAAGCTGATCAATTTTGAGATCGCCATGTGATATCACGCGATGGAAGACAACTGATTGCAAAGGTCTTACTATCAAGGTTTTTTGAATATGCCGTCTGCCGAAAGGGCCTGTTGACTTTCCTGACACCCAATTACTTTTCATAGATTTGCTAGTACATTATGTGACTCACAACTACCGTTAATTGGAATCAAGAGATTCACCTTCACTCTGAACACAGGACCGATGTTAAAAGATGATATAAAAAAGAGCAATTCAAGAGTTTTACTGAACAAGCGATATCGTTAGTCTTCAAATTTAACTGTAAAAGGAAAAAGGTATCAAACTGTACTCTGCACTTTGCGTAGGTTCATGTTATGTCCTGGGACTAGCTTGCTGAACGACTTTCAGGGATAATAATGAAAGCTAAGTGCATGCTCGGTCAAACACGCCAACGGCGCATCGGAAGTATTACAGATTATCTAAAGCAATACAGCAGAGAACCAAACAGCGAAAGCA